CAGGTCGTTTGAGTGTTTTGATCACGTAAATGTCTTTCTTTTTTGTTCGACTATAATAAATGATATCATTAATATGGGAAATTAATTCATTGGCTGATGCTGAAAATTTGACCTATCCTATTATAAAATTGTAAAAATTTTTGGCCTTTTTTGCAGTCTTTTTTTTTTATAGTTAGGTTAGGATTTGGGGTTAGAGTCGTTAATGAAAGAGTATAAGTGAATTTTAATAGGTATTATAGATTTAAGTGAGGATCCTTAGTTTCGGCATCAGCTAATTTCAGTATAAGCCACCACAGTTCATAATACATTAAGAATAGTTTACAAACCCAATCCATTCAGCAAATTCCTCAGTATTTGGAACAGTTGCTGATAAAAGGACTAGATGAACATGAGGAGGAAGCATAATGATGACTTCTTCCCAAACAACACCACGCTTTAAATTATATAATGAACATTTTAAATTTTGGTATTAAAATTTTGAAGCAAATACATTATGGTAAATGAATTTAAAATTACCTCCGAATCATTTACATAGTGTACTTCATCGAATATCACAAACTCAATTTCTTTGATTAGATCGGCGCCTCTATATAGCATGGACCGAAGAATTTCAGTGGTCATGATCAAACAAGAGGCTTCGGGCTTGATCTGTATATCACCGGTAAGAATTCCAACATCATCAAAAGTCTGTTTAAAGTCATAGAACTTTTGGTTAGATAACGCTTTAATCGGAGAAGTGTAAATTGCACTATAAAGATAATAATAATAAATGTTAGTTAAATCATTAGAGGAAAAAAAATATTAGTCTTTATTTTACCGTGTCATATGCTTGGCTGAAAGGGCAATAGCATATTCTGCAACGACAGTTTTTCCTGCCGATGTGTGTGCAGCTACAAATACGGAATCACCATTTTCAAGATGATATATTGCTTGCTTTTGAAAAATATCCAACTCAAATTTGTACTATTGAATAAAGAAAAAAGAGCATTAAGAAAAATGAAGCCAGAATAAAAAATACAAAGATTTGAATTAGATAAGGAAGAGGTACTTGGTGCGCCATTTCTGGTACTAAGTCTTTGAAATTAGGAAGATCATCGTTAATATTGACAACATGAGCCCATTTGCGATTACTGGTATTACTTGTTGATTTAGTTGGCACATTTGAACCCTCAAGAAGTGGAGGCTAAGAAAAATATTTTAGAATATTTACTTAATAATTAATGGTATGGTGAAATCAATAGAATCCAGGTCAATAATTTTTACATATCAACTTTAAACATGAATAGTTAACCAAGTTTGATGCTTTAGAACTTTCGTTAATTGTAAATTAATGTTAACGTTAACATTAAAGTTAACATTAACATTAATGTTAATGTAATATATACAAACTTATAGAATTAAAGATGCCTAAATTACCAAGACTGGTTAAGCTATCATAAGCTATTACTAGTTTATGTTTAAAGTTTGGAAAATTTTAATAAAAACCATTGGCCTGGATAATGTCGACTTCCCCTATGTAGATGAACACATACTTGCGTAGGTAAAAGGCTATCAAAAACTTTTTCCATTTCATCTTTAGCTGGAGGTATGAATTTTGAATCTGGTACATCGTCAACTATAGGTTGAGTCTATATACCATATAAAAGGATTAAACATTTATATTTCAACTATTAAAAATAAATTAGAGATGCTGATATTACTTTAGAGCTTTTTTCTGAAACATCCTCATCAATAGGTTCAAGAAGTTCTGCAAGTTCATCCTCTTCGTGTGCTATCATATCTGTAATATTTAACCCGGTTACAAATTTATTCTGCATCGAGCTTGTTTGAGGTAGTTCGTCTACATTGGCGTATAAATCAAGCAATTATAAATTAAAATTAAATTAATAACGAATATTTAATGATAAAATTTATTCATAGTATATACCTTCATAACTCAAGCCACGTTCGAATCCCGGAGGTACTGTTAATAATTCATCTTTAGGCGTAATACAAAAAATATTACGTGCAATATAATGGGTTATGATTAAAAAGCTTGAGAGATTTGAATAAAATTCAATTAATATCAATGCTATTACTACCTCTTATCACAAACCTTCCCCAAATATCAATGCATCTGTTTCTTTAGCAATTTCATTTATTGTATCAACAATCACTTCGGATTCCAATCCACCTGGAGATAATGATAATTTCAAATTATTTAAAATGGTCAAATAGAAAACAGCGTTTATCACAAATTATTTTACCAGGTGCAAACGGAAGATAACTGGACTTTCCCCTTACAAAATTTTTCAATGCACCAGGTTCACGTAAAAATGATGTTGAATTTTGAGAAGTAATGGTGGATTCCCCAATTGTTATCTAACAAATTCGCAAAGTTAATCAAATAGTGATGATTAATATATGATATTTTTTTAATAAGGTTATTTCATTAAATAAATAAATTATATACTTCTTTATAACCGATTATATCTCCTTCTGGTCCATCTCGTACTATTTCCAAAGTAGTCCGAGATTTTGAAGGTTTCAATGAGGCAAGTGATATAAAATCAGGGTCACGTTCCCAATATCTTTATATAGAGGATTTAAGAATTTTAATGATACAAGAAAGTCTTTCATGAATATGTGAAATTAATTAATTACTAACTGTTGACATTTAGGTAGCCATGATGTTGGGAATGACGTTTTCGGGGTTAAATAACGCTCCTCCAATTCTTTAAACACGTCCTCATACATGGGTATCGAAAATATTTTGCTCTTGGCGTAAATTTAAATGCGAAAATAAATAATTTAATATGTCGAAAATATTTTAGTATGTTGAAATTATTTTATATGTATGAACACATTTGAAAATTTGAAAGCGGGAATTTATTATTTTTTGTGTGGTACAAAGATCATTGCGGCGATCTTATCGTTATCTTTTGACTGGTTGGATATGTATCGATTCTCCCGCTTAAATTTATTTTTATATATATTTAAATAAATTTGTCGCCCACCCAATTGCAATGTACGCGTACTTTTTTCCTTTATAATACTCTTAAATTGCTTTTAAATATGTCATTGAAAGCCTTAACAATTCTATAGCTAGAAAATGCATCTATAAATTCACCACAAAATTCTATACAAGAAGATACAGACAACCCTCGATATAGGCAAAAACGTCAAAATTTATTATGGTTATGTAAAAAAAAAATTTGTTGCTAAAACACAAGGTAATTTCATAAATAAAATTTTAAGATAATAGTAATGTTTTCTGGTAAATATTACTGCTAGTAACAAATAAATATGCTCTATATAAAATGTTAACTTATGCATATAAAATTATGTTTTTATTACTGTAGCAAGTGCCTCAAGATCAACTATTTTTGCTTATGTATTTGTTTTTCTGTCAAGCTAATTTAAACCAATCAAATTTATGTCCCCTTATTAGCTAATTCATTATGCACCACATTTTAGTTTTCTGGTGTTCTGGACTAAAACTATCGCTATTATTTTTTACAAAGCAATCCCAAAATTCGGGTCGGAATTCATTGTTTCTGGGCCGGCATTAAGTAATACTGGCCGACTACGTTTACGTATATAGTTGGCATGACTTCATCCATAAAATTTTGAGTTAAAATCATGTATCAAGATGGAATGTAACGTAACACAAATGAATTAATAAAAGGGCATTCTTTAGTTATTCATTAAACATTACACTCCAAACTATACTACGGTGAATATGTCCATAGACGAACGACGTGAGCAGTCACAGCGTGCTTCACAATTTATTGGACAATATCTATTACAGGGTTGGGCCTTAATCGATGACATATGCCCAAATGATACCTGCTACGGTGTGAGTGATAATTTTATGGTTTATGTAATAATATTGTTGGCTGCTTAGCATCCAATAACCATATATAATCCAAGCATTTTATATAAAGTTTTCTTTATTGATTTTAGGTACCATTATTACGTTCCCGAGACAAAAAAAAATATTGTGTGATTTGCCAACATTATTACATAAATGAATCTGACTTGGAGAATTCAAAATCTAAAATTATGCGTGATTTGACACCGCAAACACCCACATCATCCAATAGATCCGTATTTGATGAAGAAAAGCGCAAAGTTTACACCAAAGATACAGAGGTACTCATTTTATAATCAGAATAATGAAAATTGTGAGCCATTTGTGACCAACTTTTTTTTGACGTTAGATCATAGCCACCTCTTCATCCAATGAAACGCTTAGTACAGCACAAAAAACCATCATAACAAAAATAGAAGAATTAAGCGCTCGTTTACAAGGTACCATTGATGTATCTGAAGTTAGGAGTATATGTGGGGCAATGGAAGGTTGTGCTAAGGCTTTGGAAGCTTTGAGAGCGTTAGATAGGACTTGATATAATTGAATACAGACAATGACCATATAATTTGCGGAAATTTATTATAACAATTCTTCGCTTTTATGATTTCTTAATTGACAGAATAATTGTTGATAATATTTAATTATGTCTAAAAAACTTCATGCCCAACCAATTCCAAAATATTGCATAAATAGTTACAGGCAAAGTAATTGGAATAAGAAGGCAATAATATTCATCTATCTTAATCCAATCTAAAGTCTACAATGAAAAAACTTAATATTTGATCAAGTTGAAATATTATTAATCCTGTAAATATAAAATAACTTACTTTGTTTCCGGTTTCAGGCATAAATTTACTTACAACAATTGCATACATACTACCTAAAAAAATAAAATAAGCAGTAAATAAAAGGATCCAACCCCATAAAGCAGTAGTATCAGGCTCAAGTTCCGATAAATGTCTAGTGACATTTCTTGCGTAGGTTGGTGTATTTGGCCTATAGTTAGGCGAAACCATTTTTGTAAAAGGGTGAAAGACGAAACCTAAGCCCAACAAAGAGAAAGAAGCCTCTATCGAAACAGCAAGATCCTGATAAAAGACAAAATCACTGGCGGAAGGCAAAGCCCTTAATAAAATGAGGACTTCTGCAGAAAGAAACCTTTGAAACTCTAATAAATAATGGAACTAAAACTATATAGTGCAAAGGTAACGTGTGTTTTGTACGATAAAAATGTGGCTTATATTGGGCAGACTTCGTCTGATTGGCTGATGTAAATCAATTGCCGGTATGGCAAAAAAATATGACTTCAAAAATTGGTATATCTAAACATTAAAAGATATGTCATTTGTTTCCATTCAATGATTCAATGTATCACAAAATTCGATTTTATCATATAACTTATGATTAGTGACTGTGATATTTGTTCAAATCAAATAAACGATAAATGAACAAACCAGCCAAGCTTTACTTTTAATTATATGTTTATTTAATATATCTACGTTTTTATCATCAAGAGATCTATTACAACCTTTGGCCCATATTACGTTAAACAATATCGCTTACAATATTTGATCTAAATCACATCTATGCCGACTTACTTGGCAATTAACTTCTATAAAGTGAATTAATATCGCTGATTCTGTATTTTTACTTTGACATTGTCACTAATAAGAACTTGGGATCCCAAAACAAGAATTTCGGATCCAGAAAAACTAAGATCTTGTTGACAAGAATTTTCATACCACAACTCTTGTATTTTTTTAAGATCTTTGTCACATAAAAAAAAATTCAAAATAAAAAAAAAAAGAATAAGATCACTTTACGCCAAATTTGGTGCTTTTTAGCCAATCAGAATGCATTATATACTAATTTTGATTGGATAAAAAAAAAATAAAATTAAATTTTTTATATTAAAATGCCAAAAATTTGAAAGCATAGAAGCTTCAAACACCTATAGCTTTAAATTTTATACTTTTTTAAAAATGCTAACCGATAATTCAGATAGAACTAATGAAAAACAATGATTTTTATCGGTTATATTTTTAAAAAATATTTAAAACTTAAGATTTTATAGATTTTTTTAAAAAAACCATGATTTTTGATGAGAAGTGACTTGGAGCACTATAGCAAGAATTTGGGATCCAGAAAACTAAGGTCTTGTTGAACTTAAAGTTTCTAAGCGTAACATATTTTATAAGAAAAGTTGTGTTTATTGAAGGGGAAACAAATTCACAATATGTTTATTACACAAGATCCCATAATTTTATTGAACATAAGAGTACCCATTTAATAAAAAAAAGTTTTTCAAAATTCAAAATTTTAAGAGTAATATTTTTTAAGAATATTATTTTGCTAGCCATTGGCTAAATTGGGCAAAAAAATTATTTGGCCAAAAATAGTCTAGCAAAGCTAGCAATATGATTGGTTAATGTTATATAAATTAAAAACTTTTGGCGGAAGTTTGGATTCTAGCTATTGGCTATTGCCTATTTTGGCTAGCTAAAGGGTAAAAAATTGTTTGGCTACAAGAAATTGCCAACACTGCTATATGTAAACGCGTAACATGTAAATATCAAAATAATATTTTCTTTATAAAAAATAAACTTTTAATTAGAGTTGGATTGAAGTCATAGTTAAAGTTAGACAAAGCGTAGTCTATATCAAAATTTTACAAAAAATTTTTTTTGTTAAAACACAAAAGATAGTTTTTTAGTCAAAATTTAAAATACAGTATAACTAATTTTTAAATTTTTATTATTTTTGTTATACTGTATAAAGAGATAATCTATATATTTCACCTGATTTTAAATTTTAATTGGTTACAATATTCTAGCACCATGATGCTATAGCACTATAAAATATATAAAACCTATATTCTTTATTCTAATCTATCTTGATATAGATAAACTTTACTTTAATTGATGTATTAGTATGTTTGTTTGAATTTTACATTATCTAATCTTATAACATATATGTACAAATAAATATACGTACTATATAATATACATACGGTACTGTATGTATACATTAATATACTGTAATTTGTTTTAAAAAAAATTAATTTGATAAAATTAAATTAAAATTAGGAGTTAATATATGGATTATAATATAGTTTATACTAAAATTTCATATAGATTTTTTTATTAGAATCTCATAGATCTGACATTTTACTAATAAAATTTTAAGTTACAGTATACTATATACATCACTCTCGCTATAGTAAAGTCATTGGACTTAAAAAAAATTTTTTCATTATAGTTTATATCGAGATAATACTATATATACTTCATTATATCGAGTTGAATTTTAATAATTTCGTACAGTAATTCAAAAATTTTCATTATATCGAATCTTCACTATATTGAGAGTTCACTATATTGAGAGTTCACTATAACGAGAGTGAGTTGTATTTATACGTATTTATTATACTAATGTACAAATAGAAATTTTCTAAAAAAAAAAATTAACCTGACAATAAAGTGCAATAAAGTGCAATAAGTTTTATAGTAAGTTTTTTTTTTTTTTTTTTGAAAAGATTGTAAAAAAAGAGCTTTGTAAACATATTACAAATGTAGCCGTACAGTATAATTTGATTGTCTACAAATTCATGCTATAACACTATAAATTAAATTTCATAAAGTAGATTTCGCCTGAAAAGAAAAAAGACGTAGTTCATATAAAATTGGTTACGCGTGCAAAAAAATTTTCACCTAACATAAGGATACAAACTGATCGATATGCCTAGGTTTGGTGTAACCTTGCCTTATAGTCTAAAGTCATTACACATCCAGAAATTTGCACACTCGAAACTACACAATGTTACGTCTATGAATCATCTGATGATTTAACGAATAGCAAAATGAATGTAAATTGCTAAGGTGTTGAATTTAATGCATTTAAGATCTACCGCTTCATTTTTAAACGCATATGTATAAAACAAACAAGCCACACGTCTTTTTAAAAACAAGTACGTACGTACGTACCTACGTATGTACGTACGTATATATTTATATATCATAGTGACGATTCATATAATCAGGCCACATAAAGTTCACTCTCCAAAAAACTCCAATCATATATTCAACGTCATCTCGCGCTTACGCCAACCCGTTGATATATTAAAAAATAGTCATTAGATATTACTTGATAGTAAATCACGAAATAAAAGATTACCGCCAAAAAAAAAATAACAAAAATAAAACAAAAAAAGAAATAAAAAAATAAATATTAATAAAATGACTTGTAGGTTTATATCTGATTCATTCACCAATCAATCAATGCATCTTTATTATTTGATACCCTCTTTGTCAAATTCTTTTAATTATATATATATATATAGTCGAAAGGAACTTCTTGTGTATAAATTAACTCGTATCGATCGTCGGCATGGTTTAAAGCGCCCCTATATAATAGAAAAAAAATCTCCTCTTTTATTTAAGAAATATTTTTGCAAAAAATTATATAAAACTGTGAAAAATTATTACAATTATTAAAAATTATTTCTTCTAACCAAAATTAAGCAAATGGAAACGTTCAACGGTATGTTCGTAGCACTAATTTGCTAATTACTATGAGTCTACCAAATATAATAATTTGAAACCAACTACGGGCGTTAATTACGCGGTTTTTTGATTTGTTCATGCAGGTAAAGTTCAAACCGTAAACGATGCGATGATCATTTTTGGTAAGACTAGTTTTCGAGTTTTTTTCTTTTCCTTTTTTTAGATAAACATATCTGATATAATGTTTTTACGAACGGCAGAGGCGTGTCGTAGGGGGATTCTCCAGAGAACTACGCGTCGTTTATTAGAAAAGGAAAAAGAGGATCTACGCAGCGGACAAGTGTAAGTATCTTTTTTTAAAACTACGTATTTCGCTCATATTCTGATCGACTATTATTGATATTGTTTTTAGATACGTATTTGATGAACAAGAATCGGGAATCAAAAGATGGACCGATGGACGGTACGTATTTCTTTCCAGATGGCTTATCTTTGTATTTGCTTTTTGAACAGAGATTTCAAAATTAATATTATTACCTTATAGTCTTTGGTCACCAAGTCGAATTATCAAGGATTTCCTCGTATATCGCGAACTAGCTACCCGCGACCGAAACGTAAAGCGAGATGAACCAATAGACGAGATTCTACAAAGAAGAGTCCAAGCAGAAGGATTAAAAGTCCATCAATGTAGTAAAGGAACTTTTATCCTTCGTAATAACGGCCTTTTAAAAAAGACAATATCTATAAAGTTTAATGGTACTTATCAGCATATGATTATTTATGAGGATGGAAAAGGTAAAAATTCTTTTATTTCAAAGATTTTTTTTATAATATAAAATCTCACGTATCTGTTATTTTTTAGAAAGCGAGAAACAGTTATTACCGCCACAAGCATTCCAAGAACTCCGACCCCTTCAGCCGGGAGAAGACATCGTCAAAGCAGAAAAAATGCCAAAAGTCAATCGAAATTCAAAAAAAGCGAAGAAAAAAAGACGTATATCAAAGCCACTTCCATACGGACATCTTTTCTATCCTCAAAACGCAACAGATTCCGTCTTGTTATGGAACCGCCACCAAGACGATTACGAAAGTGCTGAGCATGATTATATCGATCAAAATTACAGTGCTGGAAACCACAACTCTATCGCGCCACAATCATCTTCAACCTCCAGTTCAACGATTAAAGGTTATGATCCTTACAATCCTGTATCACACATGATTTCAAACGCGGCCACCAAGCTCTCCAGTCCAATATTATTTAATCCATGGTCATCTCTGCCTGCAACTCGGATTACTACTCAAATGCATATGTTTAGCAGTTCTTTAGCTAATCATTCACCATTATTTTATCCTTCTCCAAACATCTCGGGAAATCAGCAAAATCATATGCTACACGATCAAAATTTTCCGTTTATTTCTCATGAACTCCAGTTCCTTAATAACAGTGATACGGAAATTGCTAACAACGAAAACTTAGTTAATAATATGTACTATCATTATTCCACGCAAGATAATGATATTAACAATGGGGTTGGACTGAATAATAGTCAGAATTCGTGTGAAATTACTACATGGGATCAATCGACTAATGATATCACGGATTCTAAAAATGATTCATAAGAAATTTGTCATCTAGCTCTGTTGAAAATACATTAATTTTTGGAAAGGCCAGATAGATTTTTAATAGAAAACACTTCGTGTAAACATTTGTATATGAATAATAAATAAATTAAAAGGACACGAGAATGTCAATACATTAAACTTTAATAATCTATATGTTGCAATATGGTAAACTTTATCTGATATCTGGCTCAGGGTCAACTTTATATTTATCAAATACTTGTTTGTTTGTTTGTTATATAAAACAATGATCACGACGAATATGGAATAAGCGAAAATTAAAATGTATCACGCACAAAATCTGTATTTTAATCCTCCTTTAATATTTTAATCACAGATCAGGGGTAAGTTTTATTATAGTCGAATAATCTAAAATTTATATACTATAGATGTATAAATGTTTTTTGGATTTTATAAACAAATATAATTTTTATTTAAAAAGCTAAATTATTTATTTTTAGCTTTTGGTGGTTTTTTTTTACAAAAAATTAAAAATGCTAGTAAAAATTGAATTTTTTTTTTTTCAACCAGCCTCTCAGGCTTTATACGGGTTTTATTAGTCATTATGAGCCAGGAATTTTACTTCTAGACAGTTACATTTGACGAGAGTACATTTGGCCCAGGGACGGGGAATACTTCCACTATCAAATTGGAAATTTTTATCATACTAACATCAATTATTCTATTTATTCCATTTTATTCCATTTTATTCTATTTTATTAAATTAACACATGATACTATATTTAAGTTCAGCATTTGCAAGCAATTTATTTTGTTTTTTATTTTAGCAATATAATCAAACTTTTAATTTTGATTGTTAAAATATAACATTGTAAGAAATTTAAGCGATTCTGTGCTTAAATTGTGCCTATCATCATCTAAGCTTTTGTTATAGGCAGAAAAACTTCGTTCTACTGCACAAGCAGAAATTGGTAACCAGATATAATAGCGGGCAATTTTTTCTAAAAGAGGAAGTTGCAAAGCAACCTTGTTTCAAAACATATATAGATCTGTAAATTCTATAGTGCTCAAGTTAATATTGCAATAAATTGTCCATTCTTGAAGAAGAGATGATGAAGGATTAGCTAGCTCTTTAATAGTTTGATAGAAACAGATATCCTGGTTAATAGTTGTTGGTGATAAAAATCATAGATCAAAATTTTGAACTGCTTGGAACAAAGAATGTGCAGGATGTTGTAAAACATGGTTTTGAAGTTTTTGTAAGCAGCATTAAATGCTTGCTGAAATACTAGGACAAATAATGTTGCCAAAGTATTAAATTTTTGTAGTATTACATTTATTATTGGCCCAAAATTAATTGCTGTTGTTCTTGCAATTATTCATGCTTCAAGTTGTTGTAATCTTCATTCAATAAAAGAAATGTCAGTTTAGTTTCTTGTTGAAAAAAATCTATATTGGCAACAAAATGCTTAGATAAATTTTTATATATAAGAATTTACTTATTGATCAACAAAACTAAATTAATTTGTTCAATTGTTGGTGTAGAATTTTCTCTTCCTTTTTTATTATAAAATCCACAAATATAGTCTAAGTGTTAATATATATAAAATATCATACAAAATCAAGTATTTTATTGTGTTGTATTAAATAGTGATATATTTGTTAGATTGGATACTCTATAGTGACGAAGATATAATAGATAATATGCACATCTACTTTTATACAAACTAAAAGTTTGTTTAATATTTGCAAGTAACTAGTGAATAATTTGAAAGTGCTTAATTGAAAACCATGCTTCTCTAAAAAAAAAAATTAAAATTATTAATGTTATTAATAATAATTAAAATATAAAAACAAAATTAAAAGTACTAATCTGATAAGATTAACAATATGTGCTAAACATAGTAAGTGTATTAATTATAACATTATAGATTTAATATTTTATGAAAACTTTTCTTTATATAAGCAGCCAAATCTGACACAATTAATAATGATAGGTTAAAATAAATTGATATTAAATTAAAATTTAGACTATAAGTTAATCTATATTATAATTGTTAACTGTTTCTAGATAATTAATATGAACTAATTTTATTATACTTTTATAACTAAAAAGTATATTAACTATACTTTAAGCTTTAACATCAGTTGTTTTATTTATAATAATTAAAACTCTTTGATTATTAAAATATTCTTTAAGTTGATTAAAATGTTTTTCAAATATTAGTGGCAAATATTTATATCATAAAGTATATTATGTGCTTTTAGTATAATTTCTTCCTCATAACAATTTTTGCATAATTATTCTTGAAGTTTATCAATTTTTTCTAATAGAATATCTACAGCAGTAAATGCATTTACCAAATCAAATATGATAGTTTTTTTTATTTGCAATTGATTAATTGTAAATTGAAGTAATACATAATATGGTTTTGGATATCTATTCTTATTTTGTATATGTTTTTTTAGAAATTATATAAGCAGTAATTAAATTTTTTATATAAAAATTAAAACTGTAACCACAAAATTTATATATAAGTTTTTCATTATCAACAAAAAAATTATCAGAAAATTCTCTTGTACGAGAGAAAACTATAACAGAAGCAGATAGTATTTTATAAATTTATTGAATATAAATTGCAATTTATTTAAATATTGTTAAGAATTTCATAAAAATATTTTATATAATTTTTTTTTATAGTCAAGGTTAACCTTTTTGGCTTATCACTTTTATTAGATTGTAGGATTATATGATACTTTTATCAAGAGGCCCAGATACATTCTAACAAGAATATATTTGGTTATATATACAATTTTAGTCATTATCTATTTAAGAACTTCACTATATCTATTACTAACTATAGTTATTTATCATGTGCTATATCTGAAATCTGTCTATAGATCTTATTTAAACTCTCTGATCCAAGTTTCTTATGTCAATCTATCTAACCTTACTCAGAACATGCAATATATTAGTCAGTTTAAGTTCTAGAATCATTATGAACTATTTATAGAACTATTAGCTTGGTTAACCAATTTATTCTTAAATATATTATTTGCTAGAGTAGTCTAAAACCTACTATTTACTATATTATCTAGTTTATTTTAGTAACTTATACTCTCTATATTGCTCTTAGCTTGTTGCAATGATCGATCTGTATAAAAAATTAGATCTCTATAAAGTAGTAACTGATTATTCTAATTTTATTTGATTAAACTCTTCTTAAGTTTGAATGATATATCTTGTTTTTAAATCAGCTCTGTGTCTATATCATAACTGATCACTTTTATATATCAAGATTCTTATTTAGAAATATTTGCTTTTCTGCTTTTATATTATAATTTAATTAAGTTTATAAGAATCTTCAATTTTTATTTGTTTTTATTTCTTTTGACAAAAGCAGATATAAAGCCTTAGATTTTACTTCTGTAGTACCACTTCTCACAACTTTTAATTGCTTTATATTGGTTAAGCTCACAACCTGTATATTTCTTTATTATAAAATTTTTTATATTGTGTATATTATTTAAGTTTCAATATTTTATTAAGATTTTTTTATTATTTTTAAAATTACTTATGTAATTATCAATTTCAGGTTCTCTTTATTATTTGATAGCTTTACAATTATTTACTATTTAATCTAATTATCTGTTAAGAAATTAACTAGATGAGCTCTTAAAAACTACCTGTTATTATCTTCTATTCTGTATTGTGTTTTAATTAGTCTGTTTTGAGAATTTTTCAATATTAACTCTTCTATTGTTTAAATTATTTAACTGTTCTGCTCTTGTTTGTTCTTTTTCTAAGAAATTTAAGTTGTTATCAAGTTATTATTTGCTTTCCTTTTAGATTTAGTAGATGATTAATAAGTATCAAGTTAAGACTTTTAAAACAATGTGCTACCAAAGAAGTCAATAGTTTTCCTAGTATAACACAAAGTTTTTGATTCAGGTTAAATTTTAGAAAATTGATATTGCTAAAGTTAAAAGTGAGATATAGTTCCTTTGCTCTCAATATTATTTAGCATACTAAGTTATTTTTTTAAATTTTTAAATATGATTTTAAGATTTTTTTATGCTAGTTATTTTTTGAAGCACTAACAAAAATGAGTTTTTCTTCAATCTTTATTTTGGTTAATATCTTCTCTGGACCAATTGAGTTGAGATGATTATATAGACTTGTAATTTGTTTGAATAACAACTAGTTTTATAGTGAAAACAATTGCTTAGACTTCTATAATGTATTATACTTGTTCTTACTAAACTTGTAATCTTCATTTTGTTTTTTGCTATTTGTAATAATGGTATATATATATTATTAATTATCCTTATAAACATTTTTGTAATTTATAATATGTAGCATAATTTAGAAATTATATACATATTATTTATATAGAACATTTAACTAATTGTTATTTTTTTAGTAATAAGGCTTTTAGATATTGATTATACAATTTCTTTTGTCTTGGCTTAAATTTCTTTCTCTTTTATCTTGCTATTTAACCAGATTCTAAAGAATTATGTTATTTTATTTCTTCTTTTTTCATATATTTACTTTTTTTTAAGAAGATTTTTTTTGATGTCTTTTGAGTTTATTGTAAATAGCTTTATTTTTTCTTATTAATCTGAATATTATTTATTATGAAGAATTCTTCTGCAATAGAAAGTGTTCTTTTATTTATTTTTGTTCTCTGCTCTATATATAGTATTATCTACAAAAGCTACTACTGCTTATCTCTATATGTTTTTAATTATAAAGCTTAAATTTAGATTTAATAACATTTTATAAGTTACTATATATACTAATTTAGCATTTTCTTATATTTTTTTCAGAAATAGATTATAGAAAATTTTTCAGACTAATAGTAAAATTACTTTACCTTGTTCTATTCCTTCTTGTATTTCAAAAAATTTTTGAAGCTAAATTCATAATAATTTAGATTATCAGTTTACAAAAAGATTAAATATAAACTTGATCATTATTCTAAATAGCTTGATTCTTTTTATTACTTTTTATAGAGCTTCAAGTAATACTGATT